GGCCTCTCAAGGAACCATAAACCCTTTTGTTTGAAAGATGACAACTATTTTCCCCTACCTGCATGACTTCACCTTGGAAGGCCCTGAAAAAGGAATACTAGTTAAATTCTGTCAAAGACTATTTTTTTTTTTTTTTTAAGAAAACATGCAAAATGATGTAAGTGAAGTTTTAGTGGTAGGCAGGTAATATAGACTAATCTCTCTAGTTGAAAAGGGCACTGAAGATTTTAGAACGTATTAAGAATGAAAAGAAAATCTCCAAAAACTGCGTTTCTGAAGGTACCTGCCATTCTGTTTCTGCTAATAGATTTGTGATACTCAACTGACTGTAATAAGTGAATTGAAAAGGAGTCACTTTTTATTTAGGGATGTTCAGTTTTGCAGCTTCAGGCAACCTCAAAATTAATCTCAGTGGTGTTATCCTGTTAGCTTTTTTATTACCAGTGTTATTATTTCATGCAGTGGGCAGTTCAGCTCAGTAATGAAAGAACAAGAAAAAAAAGTGTTCCAGTGAGAAATCTTTCCTCCTCCTCGAGCTTTCTTTTCTGAGGTTTTTGAGGGTAAACGTTACAAAAGAGAACAAGAAATGTTTTTGACATAAACAAGGAAAAAAGCAGAAAAACAAGTCTGAGGCCCAGCCCAGCCCAACCCTGCGACAAGGGAGCATGGGATTCCAGTTTTCAAAGGCTTTCCTCTCCTTTTAACTAGCTGTTCTGAGAGGTTTGGGGAACTTAACCGGGCCTCGCTTCCTAAATCGAACTGGATGCTAATGCTTCGCTTGGTGAAAAACAACTGAGGCCTTTGTACTCTGCCACGCACACATAAAATGTCTTTTCCCTACTTTTTTGCATCAGTATGAACAAGTACAATCATTATTCTTCGCATTTCGCCCCCTTTTATGAGGGGGACTCTGGTCTGTTGGTATGGGGTTGCTATGGCAGCTGTATATATGCGTGGGTACATTATTGTAGGGTTGCCCAACAGCAATTGCAGAATGGTCCTTGGTCCCCAGATTACACAAACTGGCATTTTACTTGAAGGTTTCAAATTAATCCTGATTCACAGTCAAAATATAGCTGGAAATCTGTACCTTTCAATTAAATCTGATAATGAGCACAAACATACTTCAGTAAATACAATGTTGAATCCTCTGAAATTATTCTCTTACTGTAGATGGGTGTCTGCAGACGTGGGGGCACGTTATTACAGCACGTCGGAGCAGGCTCAATTAATCGAGTCTGTTGGAGCAAGCTAATTAGCATACCTCCAGCAGCCTCCATGTTTCATGTAACAGTGTCCCTGCACTTCAAAATGGCAGTGGGGGTGCTTGAATTAAAGTTTGTTCGATGAGCTTTAATTAAACTCCCCCAACACCATTTTAAAGCGCAGGGACACGGAGACAGGCAGTCCTCAGACTTATGACAACGGGTTCCTGAAAACCGCATCTTAAGTCGAAATATTATAACTCAGAATCAATTCTGCCATAGGAAACAATGTTATCAATGGGGGATTGGTTCCTGAACCAAGGC